GTGGTGGCTCACACCTGTAATCCCAGCACTTTGGGAGGCCAAGGCAGGCAGATTACCTGAGGTCAAGTGGTCGAGACCAGCCCGGCCAACATGGTGAAACTCTGTCTCTACTAAAAATAAAAAAAAAATTTAGCTAGATGTGGTGGCAGGTGGCTGTAGCCCCAGCTACTAAGGAGGCTAAGGCTGAAGGATTGCTTGAACTCAGGAGGTGGAGGTTGCAGTGAGCTGAGATTGCACCACTGCACTGCAGCCTCGGTGACACAGTGAGACTCTTGTCTCAAAAAAATAAAATATAAAAAATTAGCTGGCCATGGTGGCATATGCCTGTGATCTCAGCTACTTGGGAGGCTGACGCAGGAGGATCGCTTGAGTCTGGGAGGTTGAGGCTGGAGTGAGTTATAATCCTGCCACTGCACTCCAGCCTGGGTGACAAGCAAGACGCCGTTATTCATTCATTCATTCATTAACTCACACATACATACATAAAACAAAAAGGAGATAACTGTAGGTAGAATACGTTGTAAGAAGTCCAGTTTTGGAGATACTGAGTAAGCAATTCCTTATATGAGCCTGGAGTTGGAGCAGGGAAAAAAGCCTAAATTGGAGACAGAAATTTGAAACTAATAAACATAGAAATGGCATTTAAAGTCATTAGCTGTTTAAGATTACCAAGAAATGGATAAAAACAGAGAAGAGAAGGATAAAAACCCAAAGCCTAAGCTCTGATGTACCTTAACAATAAAAGAGCTGAGAAAATAATCAAAATCAACAATCTTGTTTGGACCAATGGGGAAAATGTATTAGGACAGCTTATAGGAATTCCAATCATACACAAAGTAAGTATGTCACCAAGGAATCTCTAACTCCTGTCAGACATCCAATACATGTGTAAATTGGGTTACAAATTGAGCTTGGATGAAGACAGATTTAATAAGATTCAGTGAAACAGAATTATATTACTAGAAAAATAACTCTAGAGTTTAATTACATTGATGGTATGTTTAAAAATCTTATTTACCTGTAAAAGGAAATGTGTTTTTCAACTTAAGAAGATCTATAGTTATACACATATGAATACTCACTGGACAAGTTATAATGTTACTTTATATACTAGAAAGATGCTTGCATTATTTTTACCTAATGAGCAGTTGCTTTGCATTCTCCCATCTGTTGAACAACGCAACATGGTGCCAACCACACGGCCTCCCACGACAATGACACGTACATCCCGTCCATGAGACTCCTTAACATACTTCTGGAACAGGTATGGCGCTTCATGGCGAATAAGATGGCTTAGATCAGCCAAATGGTGCTTATCTCGAGCCAAGAAAACAGCTTTACCTATATGATTTAAAAGAATAAAAGTACACATTAAGTCATTAATTGTGGGCAGATGATACCTATTATCTCAATCTTCTTGTATCCCAATCTGCTCTTTAAGAACCAATTATACTTTATTTTTAAAGTTTTCCTTGTTAGAACTGTTTTAACAGTGAAATAGCACAAAAATATATAAAAAGGTAAATAATCTCCTTTTATCACTCCTCAAGCTCTTTCATGACAAACTAAAATTTATTTTGATACATGTTGTGAGACAGGGGTCTAGATTTATACTTCTCCAGGTTAGCCAGTAATGTCAACCTTATTCACTAGCAAAATTTTCTCTCTGAATTGAAACATATGTGTGATATATTACTATACAATTTATTAATATATTATATTAGAATATAGCAATATAGCAGTATGTTACTTCAATTTATTTCTGAATTCTCACGCCTGTTCCGCTGCTCTGTTTTTGTGCCAACGGAAGTGGCTGTTTTTAATATATGGTTCTAAATTCCTCCCATGGTAGGGAAGGAAAAGGAGGGATACTAAATCTGTCACTATTGGCCGAATCTAGGAGGGCTTGTGATTGCTCAAAAAAAGACAATATAGCAGAAGTAATTCTATTATGACTTCTGAGGGTAGATCATAAAAGTCATTTAGGTTCTTTTTTCACTGTAGCATTCACTGTAGGAGGCCTGAGACTCTCGGCTGCCCTACTGGAGAAGCCAAATATAAAAAATCCAGTCTGTACCCGTCAACAGTTCCAGCTGAACTCTGATCCAGCTATCCCTGCCAAAACACAAAAGTATGTCACTGTACTCAGATTTATGTATCATTTTATGCCTTAAAATTCTACCTTAGGCTGGGCATGGTGGCTCATGCCTGTAATCCCAGCACTTTGGGAGACTGAGGCGGGTGAATCACCTGAGGTCAGGAGTTCAAGACCAGCCTGGCCAACATGGTGAAATCTCATCTCTACTAAGAATACACACACGCGCGCGCACACACACGCTCAAATTAGCTGGGTGTAGTGGTGGACACCTGTAATCCCAGCTACTTGGGAGGCTGAGGCAGGAAAACTACTTGAACCCTGGAGACAGAGGTTGCAGTGAGCCGAAATAGCGCCACTGCACTACAGCCTGGGCGGCAAGAGCAAAACTTCATCTCAAAGAAAGAAAGAAATTCTACCTTAATCCAAAGTCATTAAGATATTTTCATACGCCATCTTACAAAGTTTTATAGTTTAACCTTATTCATTTAAGTCCTCAAACTACATATATTTAGACGGGGATGACTGGAGTTAGTGATCTAAGATCCTATATTGTTTCTTTGCTTTTTTTAGACAGAGACTGGCTCTATCGCCCAGGCAGGAGTACAGAGGCGTGATCTCAGCTCACTGCAACCTCTGCCTCCTGGATCCAAGCAATTCTCCTACCTCTGAGTAGCTGAGATTACAGGCATATGCCACCATGTCTGGCTAATTTTTGTATTTTTAGTACAGATGAGGTTTCACCACATTGGCCAGCTGGTCTTGAACTCCTGACCTCAGGTGGTCTGCCGGTGTCAGCCTCCCAAAGTGCTGGAATTACAGGGGGTACTTACATTGCTGAGGAGGAAGATACAGACATTAACTTGAGACTCAGTCTAAGTATGTATGTTAAAATCTGTAGATAACCACTAAACAGAAATAGCTTCTAGTCAAACTGAACAACTCATAGCCTTTTGTAAGCCTGAAGTATCATGCACCTAACAATTTCCCTCTAAGTATTCTTCAAAGTCACTCATATTAATAAGTATAATTTCAAAACTATATACATTATCAATAACTCATACCCACCTCTATGACCCCGCGTATTCTTTACTACCATTGGGAACTCCAGTACTTCTGCTTCATCAATCATTTTAGCAAAATTTTCATGGCCACCTGGTTTAAGCAATAAAAAAATTTAAGAAAAACAGCAGAAGTATTTTGTAATCATTTTTATCTGAAAATCACTTCTATAAGATATTCTTTCCTGCCTGTAAATTTATCCTATTAAACTATGAGTGGTTAACCATTTAGGCTATGCATGCTTCTTAGTGGGCTCACCATAAGAGAAAGTGTCTGGCAGAGGAACACCACGGCCAGCCAACTCTTGAAATGTCCAGAACTTATTAACGCAGTTCAGGATGGCTTGAGGTCGGTTCATCAACCGGCATCCCATCTTCTCTAGATGGCGCAAAACAGTAATGTCACTATCACTTTGCACCCACGGGGTTGGTACTCTGACTACTACAACTTGTGGGTAGGCAGTGATTAGCTCTCCATTGATCCGTAGACCTGAAATATATAAAAACAAGGCCAAAACCATTAGAGGAAAATAGAGCAACAGTAATATGCCAAAGTTTGTATCACAAAGTTAAATGAACTATTTTATTAATATTAAATTTGGATAGAGATATTCCTCCGTAAGAAACAAGGAAAATTAGAAAAATATTTGCAGTGATTAAACTATAGTACCCACTAGAATGAATTAGCACACAGCCATTAAAAATAATGTCATAAACACGTAAGTTCAGAGACGAACAAATGCCCAGATACATAATATCGAGTTTTTATTTTAAACAGCAAATCTGACAAAAAGTTTTATTTGTGCATACACACAAAAGATATCTAAGCAGGTGGGCACAGTGGCTCATGTCTGTAATCCCAGCACTTTGAGAGACTAAGGCAGATGGATCACAAGATCAAGAGATTGAGACCACCCTGGCCAACATGGTGAAACCTGTCTCTACTGAAAATACAAAAATTAGCTGAGCGTGGTGGCAAGTGCCTGTGATCCCAGCTACTCGAGAGGCTGGGGCAGAAAAATCGCTTGAACTTGAGAGGTGGAGGCTGCAGTGAGCCGAGATCATGCCACTACACTCCTAGCCTGGCGACAGAGTGACATTCTGTCTCAAAGAAAAAAAAAAGGAAAAAAAAACACAAATATTTAAGCAGTTTAATGATTTAACTGGCTTCCTCTGAATGTGACTGGGTGGCAAGGCAGGAAGAGGAAGGTTGAAGATGGAACGTTAATATTGTGTTCCATGCAATTTTCCATCTATATTATGTTCTATTTTTTTAAGTGACAATATATGTCTCTATAATGAAAAAACACAATTTTTTAAAAGAAATGTTTTGCAAACTTTTATCCAGGTACCTGCCATGATGCCCAGCTATTTTTTTTTAATTTTTAGTAGAGACAGAATTTCACCACGTTGGCCGGGCTCTTCTTGAACCCCTGACCTCAGTTAATCTGCTTCCCTTGGCCTCCCAAAGTGCTGGGATTACAGGTGTGAGCCACCACGCC